GCGCGCCGGCTCTGCTATGATTGCCGATAATATAGATGATTGGGAATGTTGTGTGGCGCTCACGCTCCAAGCCTCCTGTGTAGAGTGAGGTCATGTGACTTGATGCACATTGATTAGCCCGGACTGTTTGGTGTGGTCACCTGGAATCCTGACCGAAGACTCCGCTATGTGACCAAAAAAAAGTTGACACCACAGGTGGCCCAGTGAACCACCAATCAGGACACAGCAATGTCATGTCTACCAATTTCCAGAGACTGGAGAGAGAGAGGACTAATTTATCACCGAATCGGCCAAAACTCATCACACAATGGGAATCAGGATTCCATAATTTCACAGAGAAAAATCCACAATATCAACAACACTTGGGGAGAAGAGAAATGATATTGGATGGGTGGAAGGATATTGGATGGGTGGGGAAAAAATGATTTTGGTTAATGGATGGGTGATAAAAGGATATTGGATGGGTGGAAGGATATTGGATGAGTGGAAGGATATTGGATGGGGGATGGGTGGATAATTGGATGGATGATATTGGGTTGGGTGGAAGGATGTTGGATGGATGGAAGGAAGGAGGAGATTGGATGGGTGGAAGGAAATTGGATGGGTGGAAGGATATTGGATGGATGAAAGGATATTGGATGGATGGGTGGAAGGATATTGGTATGTTGGATGGATGGATGGGTGTGAGGATGTTGTTGGGGGTGGGTGGAAGGTAATTGGATGGATGGATGGATGAAAGGATATTGGATGGATGGGTGGGGAAGGATATTTGATGGATTGTTGGAATGGGTGGAAGGATATTGGATGGATGCGTGGAAGGATATTGGATGGGTGGAAGAATGTTGGATGGATGGATGGAAGGATATTGGATGGGTGGAAGGATGTTGGATGGATGGATGGAAGGATATTGGATGGAAGGATATTGGATGGATGGATGATGGGTGGAAGAATGTTGGGATGGATGGATGGAAGGATATTGGATGGATGGGGATGGGGTGGAAGGATATTGGATGGATGGATGGATGGATGGATTGGATGGGTGGAAGGATATTGGATGGATGGGTGGAAGGATATTGGATGAATGGATGGGAAGGATGTTGGATGGATAGATGTTGGATGGATGGATGGGTGTAAGGAAGGATATTGGATGTATGGATGGGTGGAAGGATATTAGATGGATGGATGGATGGATACGTGGAAGGATGTTGAATGGAGGGTGGAAGGATGATGGATGGGTGGAAGGATATTGGATGAATGGGTGGAAGGAGGATGGATGGATGCATGGAAGGATATTTGGATGGGTGGAGGATATTGGATGGATGGGTGGAAGGATATTGGATGGATGGATGGATGGGTGGAAGGATGTTGGATGGATGGGTGGAAGGGATATTGGATGGAAGGATGGATGGATGGGTGGAAGGATGTTGGATGGGTGGAAGGATGTTGGATGGATAGATGGTTGGAAGGATATTGGATGGATGGGTGGAAAGACATTGGATGGATGGGTGGAAGGATGTTGGATGGATGGATAGGTGTCACGTGTTCGGCGGGGAGCCTGTAATTGGAAAACATGAAGAATAAGAACTCCCCGCCGGCTGACATCTCTGATGATTGGGGGGTTGGGACGCGGTGGGGAATTTGGTGAATTTCTGGTTTGGCTCACCTGATCAGCCGGTTATGTAACCATCGGCTGCTGCCGCTTCGGGTAATGTAAACTGCCGGTGGTGGCTTGAAATGTGCCGCAGACAATGGCAGTCCATGGATTGGGTCCCGTCACATGCCGGGCCTCACTAACCATTGTCTGGGAGGCTGGCGTGCCGGAGACTACCGCCCGGGGAGAACGCCTGCTATTGTTGCGGCTGCTATTTTAGGTGCGTGTACGGCTCACGTTCCTGTAGGATGGCGCGCCGCGCTCTGCTATGATTGCCGACACGTGGCGCTCACGCTCCAAGCCTCCTGTGTAGAGCGAGGGCCCGGTCATGTGACTTGATGCACATCGAGAAGCCCGTCGCCTGCACCGCACACACGGAGGATGAGAAGACTCCATGACACCATGAGAGGACTCTTCTTAGAGTGTCCCCTGAGATGGGTCGATTATGCTGCCGGCTGGCAGGAAGTTAAAGGAAGACTCCAGAATATGCACCAAATGGGCTCATCGTCGGCTGATTCACCGTTAGTCCTGAACCCGACGCCGACTCCCCTGGCTATAACACCCAACCACCTTCAACACGGCCTTGGACTCCAAAGCCATCCACTAAATGTATCCAAACTCATAACTCCAACCTACGACCTACACAAGTTCTCAGCCAATAAAGAACCTCAACAATACGAATATCTAACCCCTCAATCGAAATATCTAACCCAAATCGAATATCTAACCTCCAACCGAATACCTAACCTCTAACCGAATATCTAACCCTCAACCAAATTCCTAACCATCAACCGAATATCTAACCATCAACCAAATTCCTATCTAACCCTCAACCAAATTCCTAACTCTCAACCGAATATCTAACCCTCAACCAAATTCCTAACTCTCTCTAACCGAAATATCTAACCCTCAACCAAATCCTAACCTCCAACCGAATACCTAACCCTCAACCGAATACCTAACCCTCAACCGAATACCTAACCCTCAACCGAATACCTAACCCTCAACGAATATTTAACCCTCAACCGAATTCCTAACCTCTAACCGAATATCTAACCTCCAACCGAATATCTAACCCTCAAAAGAATATCTAACCCTCAACCGAATATCTAACCCTCAACCGAATATCTGACCCTCAACCGAATATCTGACCATCAATCGAATTCCTAACCCTCAAACCGAATCTGTAACCTCCAACCAAGGGGTGGCGGACTGACCATTTGGAAACTTGGGGCACTGCCCGAGGGCCGGGGTCAGTAGGGGCCCCATGAGATGCCCCTGTACCTTTTTCATAGGCTTTTTTTTTTTGAGTTTGGGCAAGGACAACAGGGGCCCCATGATCCCCTATTGCCCGGGGCCCCATGAGTTGTCAGTTCACCTCTGCCTCCGACCGAATACCTAACCTAAAATAAAAATTAAATAAATAATAGTGAAAATATTATAAATTCAATTAAAATGAAATGTGAAATTGTTCAGATTTAATTAAATAAATAAAAATTAAATGAATTAAAATAAATGATTAAATAGTGAAAAAATAAAATTATAAATTAAAAAAAAATGAAAAAATGAAATAAATCCATATTTTAGCAACAAAGCCTTCAAAGTCAACACAAAGGAAGTAAAGGAGGCGGAGTGTGAAATGCCGACACCCTCTCTACAGAAGATCCAGGATCCATCACCACATCTCAGAGGGGCGGCTGAAGGAACGTGACGGAAGGTGTGGGTTTAGCCTACAAGCACTGTGAAAAGCCTGCTGAATTCAGAGGTAGTTGCTCATAGAAAGCTCTCTCTCTCCCTGTGTCTGTAGGGCACTTGGCAGGTATCAGAACTGAATGTGTCATATCTGGGGGTCACCTCGTAGCCCCCCCCCCAATAGACAGTCAGTGTCGGGGGGGGGGGGGGTGTTTGTTGTATTTTTAGTTTGAGACCTCAGATGTGTTGGATCCAGTCCAGCCCCGATGTTCCTCCTGCTGACTGTAATGTGGTGATTACATATAATTGCTGCTGGAGAACAAAGAGCGGCGGGAGGAATCAGCACAACCGCGGGAACCCCAAAACCAGAACTCCACCTGTAACCCATACTATAGCCAACGGGGAAGATTTCCCTTCTATACCCGGGAGAGATTCCCCCTCTGATGTATGGAAGAAGAAATGATAATATATTTATAGATCGTATATACAGTACACCCGCTGTGCCTGTACACCCGCTTATTATGAGGGGTTCCCATCATCCCCCCCTGCCGAGTGCTGAGTTCCCGGGTCTGTACACCCTCTGTGCCCATTATGAGGGGTTCCCGCCATCCCTGTGCTGAGTTCCCGGGTCTGTACACCCGCCGTGCCCATTATGAGGGGTTCCCACCATCCCTGTGCTGAGTTCCCGGGTCTGTACACCCGCTGTGCCCATTATGAGGGGTTCCCACCATCCCTGTGCTGAGTTCCCGGGTCTGTACCCCCGCTGTGCCCATTATGAGGGGTTCCCATCATCCCCATGCCGAGTTCCCGGGTCTGTACACCCTCTGTGCCCATTATGAGGGGTTCCCACTATCCCTGTGCTGCGTTCCCGGGTCTGTATGCCCATGCTGTGCCCGTTATGAGGGGTTCCCACCATCCCTGTGTCCATTGTATGCCTGGGGTTCCCACCATCCCTGTGTCCATTATGAGGGGTTCCCACCATCCATGTGTCCATTATGAGGGGTTCCCACCATCCATGTGTCCATTATGAGGGGTTCCCACCATCCCTGGGTCTACAAATGAGGAACTTTAGACTTTAATGGGGGGCTTCAGAAAACAATAAAACTCTGTGTATTTGTGGCTCCATCTTTCATGGATTGTCGGGTGTGTGATCTATAACTACACTCCGTCGGTCTCCTCCGGATCCAAGCCGCCATCTTTTCGGCATTGCCAAGCGCCAAGCTCTGGATTATCTCGGATGAGGAGGTGACAGGGAGGCAGCTGATGGAAATCTCCTGGTCCGGTCCCAGGCAGAAGATGAAAGCAGGCAGAGCGAGCGGTGATCACAGACACCCCATGAGGGAGGAGGAGGGACGGCCCTCTGGTCACGTAGCCCATCGCTGTGTCATGTCTGCAACTCCGGAACCTCAGCCTGCAGAACACCCCCTCCCCCCCCTCCCCGAAACCTCCGCAATGTAAACCTGCAGACAACAACAACTAACAGCAAGTCGCTAGTGAACTCCAACCTCCCCTCCAGTCTTGCACAGGTGTACCGGCTCCTCCCCTCCAGTCTTACACAGGTGTACCAGCTCCTCCCCTCCAGTCTTGCACAGGTGTAGTGGCTCCTCCCCTCCAGTCTTGCACAAGTGTACCAGCTCCTCCCCTCAGTCTTACACAGGTGTACCGGCTCCTCCCCTTCAGTCTTGCGCAGGTGTACCGGCTCCTCCCCTTCAGTCTTACACAGGTGTAGCGGCTCCTCCCCTTCAGTCTTACACAGGTGTAGCGGCTCCTCCCCTCCAGTCTTGCACAGGTGTACTGGCTCCTCCCCTCAGTCTTACACAGGTGTACCGGCTCCTCCCCTCCAGTCTTGCACAGGCGTAGCGGCTCCTCCCCTCCAGTCTGGCACAGGTGTACCGGCTCCTCCCCTCCAGTCTTGCCCAGGTGTAGCGGCTCCTCCCCTTCATTCTTGCACAGGTGTTCCGGCTCCTCCCCTCCAGTCTTACACAGGTGTACCGGCTCCTCCCCTCCAGGCTTGCACAGGTGTACCGCTCCTCCCCTCCAGTCTTGCACAGGTGTAGCCAGCTCCTCCCCTCCAGTCTTAGACAGGCGTAGCGGCTCCTCCCCTCCAGTCTTGCACAGGTGTACTGGCTCCTCCCCTCCAGTCTTGCACAGGTGTACCGGCTCCTCCCCTCCAGTCTTGCACAGGTGTATCAGCTCTTCCCCTTCAGTCTTGCACAGGCATACTGGCACCTCCCCTTCAGTCTTGCACAGGTGTAGCGGCTCCTCCCCTTTAGTCTTGCACAGGTGTACCGGCTCCTCCCCTTCAGTCTTGCACAGGTGTAGCGGCTCCTCCCCTTCAGTCTTGCACAGGTGTAGCGGCTCCTCCCCTTTAGTCTTACACAGGTGTACCGGCTCCTCCCCTTCAGTCTTGCACAGGTGTAGCGGGCTCCTCCCCTTCAGTCTTGCACAGGTGTATCGGCTCCTCCCCTGGACTGAATCGTCTTCCTCTGATGTCACCGCACACTGGGAGGGAACTTTCACAATGTGCATTAGAAGCTGCAGCCAGTCAGATAGAGCTCCGCCTCATTTCCTGGCTGGAGGGCATCCAGTATCATCTAGCACTTTCCTCCCCAGCCTGACTGTCCCTGGCCCCGCCTCTTTTATTGAGTGGATTGCAGTCTTTTCAATCATTGGATGCTCTGGATCACATGCTTGTATGGTCTGCATGCAAATACAGCCTACCTAGGAATGCCCACTCCCCCAGACTGACACCCGCCCATCGAGGCATTTTATAATTTGCATGACTCCTCCCACTGCTTGGGAGTGTTCAATGTATTAGCAGATATAGATACACTAACAAACAGAAGCCAAACTCCAAGCTGACACTTTATAATCAGTTACATTCTTTTAAATAAAGGTTTTATATGAATTAAAAGCTGATCCTCGTCGGCACGCCTGTCAGTGGCGATGGTTCCTCTCATCATCATCTGCAGGAGAGCTTGTTCTTTTTGAAGAGCAACAGACTTTCTGGCTGGATCACACTAAAAAGAAAACCAATGCAGCCACCACGAGCCGCAATATAATGAATGTTTGCTTATTGGGGGGGTTTAATTCCGCTTCAATGGCGTATCAATGATTACAGAGCTGCATCGATCTGCCCGGAGGTCGACTTTAAGACGACTTGGTTTGCTCGGGGGATAAAATATTCGACATTAAGAGAACACGGCACGTTCGGTCCATGAGAACCTCCCAGTGTTCCGTGAAAGAGCGCCGAGCGTGGAGGGCCGCGAGTAACGCGAGGGACGCCATCCATTCCCTTAGCTCATGATGATCTTGGGGGGGCAGGAAGTGGCGGGGAACCTTCGCAGCGACTGCCACGCATCGCCCGCACGTCGCCTGCAAACAGCCGCCGCCAGCCGAGCTCTGGGAACTCTCAGCTTTGATCTCGGAACGCGAGGACAGAAGAGACGGAAATAATCCCACGGAACACCAAGCCTGTCCAGACAGGGAATAAATAACCCCAAATAACCGACATAAACCCATCCAATTATATCCAGAGTCACCGTAAGTGATGGGCCGAACACCCCCCCCCCGTGACGTCATCGTGCGCTGTGAGTGACCAAAGCATTGCGCCTGACCTGTGGCAGTGTATTGTAAGCCATGGCGAGTGAACAGCCCACCGAACGCCATCACCTTTCGTGCGTTCTCCCCAATTCATACTAGAGCAAATTCAGGTCCACCCCTGCCCCTTTGTGACGTCATCGTGTGCTGTGACTGACCACAGCATTGCGCCTTACCTGTGGCGGTGTATTGTGAGGCACGGCAGGCGAACATCCCACCGAACGCCTTCACCTTTCGTGCAATTCATAGCAGGCCCCTCAAGTCTGGTATGAATTTTAAGGGGGGCCCCACACAAAAAAAAAACATGAAGTCCCTCAAATTCAGGTTCACCCTTGCCCCCTTGTGACGTCATCATGCGCTGTGATTGACCAAAGCATTGCGCCTGACCTGTGGCAGTGTATTGTGGGGCATGACGGGTGAACAGCCCGCCGAACGCCCTTACTGTTCATGCGTTTCCCCCCCAGTTCATGCCAGGCCCTTATCTGAGCAAATTCAGGGTCACCCCGCCCCCTTGTGACGTCATTGTGCTCTGTGATTGACCGAAGCATTGCGCCTGACCTGTGGCAGTGCCCTTACCGTTCGTGCGTTCCCCCCAGTTCAAACAAAGCCCCTCAGGTCTGGTATGAATTTTAAGGGGGGACCAACACAAAAAAAAGCATGAGGTCCCCCAAATTTAGGTTCACCCCCGCCCCCTTGTGACATCATTGTGCGCTGTGATTGACCAAAACATTGCGCCTGACCTGTGGCGGTGTATTGTGGGGCATGGCGGGCGAACAGCCCACCGAATGCCCTTACCTTTCGTGCATTCCCCCCCCAGTTCATACCAGGCCACTCAGGTCTGGTATGAATTTTAAGGGGGCCCCCACACACAAAAAAAAAGCATGAGGTCCCCCAAATTCAGTTTCACCCCCGCCCCCTTGTGACGTCATCGTGCTCTGTGATTGACCAAAGCATTGCGCCTGACCTGTGGCAGTGTATTGCAAGGCATGGCGAGCAAACAGCCCGCCAAACGCCCCTACCATTCGTGTGTTCCTCCAGTTCATACCAGGCCCCTCAGGTCTGGTATGAATTTTAAGTGGGGCCCCACACAAAAAAAAGCATGAGGTCCCCCAAATTTAGGTTCACCCCCCGCCCCCTTGTGACGTCATCATGCTCTGTGATTGACCAAAGCATTGCGCCTGACCTGTGGCGGTGTATTGTGGGGCAAGGCGGGCGAACATCCCACCGACCGCCCTTACCGTTCGTTCGTTCCCCCCAGTTCATACCAGGCCCCCCAGGTCTGGTATGAATTTTAAGGGGGGCCCCACGCAAAAAAAATCATGAGGTCCCCCAAATTCTATACAAGACCCTTCCGGTCTGATGTGGATCTTAAGGGGGAGCCCCATGCCAAAATCAAGGGAAAAAAAGCTTGGGGTCCCCCCAAAAAAGTCCATATTAGACCCTTTTCTGAGCAAATTTAGGTTCACCCCCGCCCCCTTGTGACGTCATCGTGCGCTGTGATTGACCAAAGCATTGCTCCTGACCTGTGGCGGTGTATTGCAAGGCAGCCCACCGAACGCCCTTACCTTTCGTGTGTTCCCCCCAGTTCTTACCAGGCCCCCCAGGTCTGGTATGAATTTTTAAGGGGGGCCCCACGCAAAAAAAATCATGAGGTCCCCCAAATTCTATACAAGACCCTTCAGGTCTGGTGTGGATCTTAAGAGGGAGCCCCATGCCAAAATCAGGGGAAAGAAACCTTGGGGTACCCCCAAAAAAGTCCATATTAGACCCTTATCTGAGCAAATTCAGGGTCACCCCTGCCCCCTTGTGACGTCATCGTGAGCTGTGGGTCCCCCCAAAAAAGTCCATATTAGACCCTTACCTGAGCATGGCAGGAAAGGGGGAGGGGCAAAGTGTGATCATTTATATATATATATATTACCATCATTTGTATATTTTCTAATATAATTATTACAATAATTGTAGCAATCGTTTTATTTTCTCAGATGATACAAAATCGATGACGGCCCCTCCCCCAAAATCGTTTTCTGATCCTGAAGATCTGGTCCCTGCGAGGGCCGTACGGTACGGGTGACACGCCGCGTCTCCGAAGGACGCCCCCCCCCCCGGCGGCCACGTTCCCTCCTCTCCGTGACCACGTGTAACCGCCATGTCCTGCAACGCGTCACGTTCCCCCTCTAGGCTCCGCCATCTCATTTAAAATCTAATTGCGCGGGCGATCGATACCTCCAACGATCGGCTCACTTCGAGAATCATCTCACACCTAAATATACCCGCGGCATCGATCCTTCGCCTCTGCGGCAGGAGAACAATGGAGCGGTGTATGCGAGCTCCCAGCGGGTGAGACAATGTGTGTTCACCTGATCCCGAAATTGGAAACATTTATCTACAGGACATGGAGGGAGGGAGGGAGGATTGAGAGCGCGGCGGGTTTAGGCAGCAGGGGGGGGCGGTAAAAAAATAATTCCAAACAAGGCAAACGGCGGATTTTGTTGAATGAAAATTCAAATAAAATAGGTCGTACGTCTCTGGTGGCCAATCTGCGGCCCCCGGGGGCACATGCGGCCCTTCGCAGTCCCCCAGCAGTCAGTACTGGAAGCTATAATGACAGTGACCTCTAGCATCTCGTCGTGTTGCATGTCCCCAGTCCCTCGTCATCTCCTGTAAGGCGTCTTCCAAACACCCTTAGTGGTTGTCTGCAGTCTCCTTCAGTGGCAGAGTGACAACTCGTGGGGGCCCCCCGGGAAATAGGGGATCAAGGGGCCCCTGTGTCCTTGCCCAAACTCAAAAAAGCCTATGAAAAAGGTACGAGGGGCATCTCATGGGGCCCCCTACTGACCCCGGGCCCTCGGGCAGTGCCTAAGTTTCCAAATGGTCAGTCCGCCCCTGATCTCTACTCATCTTCTCCAGTGTGCCAGAAGTCTTTAACAGTCTTCTGTCACATTCTGAATATCATGTGTGGCCCTTTGGTACTTGCTGTGTGGCCCTTCGCAAGCCCCAGCAGTCAGTAGTGGAAGCATTCATCCATAAAGAGGTTATAATGATGGTGACTTCTAGCAGTCTCATGTTGCACGCTAACAGTCTCTCATTATCTCCTGTAGTGTCTTTCAATGAGGCTTGTTGGTGGCCTGCAGTCTCTAATCATCTCCTCTCGTATGTTGGAGGTCTTTAACAGTCTGACTATCACAGGTGGCCCTTTGGTACTTGGTGTGTGGCCCTTTGCAGGCCCCAGCAGTCAGTAGTGGAAGCATTCATTCATAAAGAGGTTATACTGACAGTGACCTCTAGCAGTCTCATGTTGCATGTCCCCAGTCTCTCATTATCTCCTGTAGTATGTCTTCCACTGGAGGCTTGCTGGTGGCCTGCGATCTCTAATCACCTCCTTTAACAGTCTTCTGTCATAGGCTGAATATCACGTGTGGCCCTTCACAGACCCCAGCAGTCAGTCTTTTATGTATTCGTAAAGAGGTTATAATGATGGTGACTTCTAGCAGTCTCATGTTGCATATCCCCAGTCTCTCATTATCTCCTGTAGTGTGTCTTCCAATGAGGCTTGTTGGTGGCCTGCAGTCTCTAATCATCTCCTCTTATGTCGGAGGTCTCTAACAGTCTTCTGTCATAGACTGACTATCACAGGTGGCCCTTTGGTACTTGGTGTGTGGCCCTTTGCAGACCCCAGCAGTCAGTAGTGGAAGCATTCATTCATAAAGAGGTTATAATGACAGTGACCTCTAGCAGTCTCATGTTGCACGCTCCCAGTCTCTCATTATCTCCTGTAGTGTGTCCTCCAATGAGGCTTCTTGGTGG